TGTTTAACCTCAAAAGTACAGTTTTTAAATTAAGTGTTGCTGAAACAGCAAGTTTCTCAGTGGATCTGAGCTCAAAAATACAGCCTAGGTGGAGTAGTCGAACACAGATCCACTGATCCTTCAACACAGAGCATCTTCAGAAGACAAGTTGATAAAATAAATTTTAAAAATCAGTATTGTTCGATACAAGTGTGTATTGAACCTAAAGCACTGTTCGATACGGGGACATGTATTGTTATATTTATATTATTAAGTTAAGATCAAGTTATATTGCTCAATATCCCTAATAACTATGAATACACCTACAGTTCCTCATGTAAAATATGTTTCTGTTCAATCAGGTCACTTTCAGTCAGCATGAGTTTAATATTTTTTCTTTTTATATGTAAATGTCTGAGTCTACAGATAAAAAGGGGCAGCCTGCAGCGCTGGAATCTGCATGTTTCTCATACATCTGTCTCTGAGTGGAAAGAGATAACAAGGTGATCTCCCTGGGCAAAGAGGGTTAATGTGTTGGATGAGGCATTAAAGGCCTTTCTCTCTCTAGATCAGAGAAAAAAGTACCTACTGAATCTCAAAGAAAAAACACAAGAGACTCTGTTGGGGTCAAAAATAGGAACTAAACATCCAACAGTCCAATAAAATGCTGTTTTAAACACTGTTTCTGTTGAACGCCAGTGCAAAAGCATTTCTGCATTTTAATTGTGTGATGATTTGACATTTTTTCTGTGTGATTTTTGCATTTTAACTTCTGAATACTTTGTGGCAGTTTACATATACATTCTGCTCATTCAGCAAATGGATGCTTTGACTATTGGTATTTGTAACTTTTATACTTTTCAAAATATAAAATTTTATTAAAAATCTTTTCTGCATAGAAACATATAAATTGAGAACACTTTGATTACTTCAAAAACAACTTCGTTTAGCATCAATTTTTTTTCTAATTTTGTCTTCTTGTGCTACTTTTTGCTGAAATTTATCTAGTTTTATTTTGCATCTAGCCTTGTGCTACTTGAGCTATAAGCTAGTTTTTTCCTGCTGTTTAGCCACTTTAGTTAGCTTTTTGTAATTTTTTTGTACTTTGTTTTAGTTTTAATAATTCAGTTTCAGCTTTAACAAATTTCAGCAGTTATATCAGCACTCACTGCATTTTCACAGAAAATTATTAATCTCCAGCTAACATTCTGTTAGACATTCTTCTGTATCTTGTAGCAATGTTTGAAAATAAAGCTGAATGTATAAACCAACATGTGTGGCTGATTAGGAATAGTGTACTCTGCTGTGATTTTTGGTAACAGTTCTTATGAGTGCAAGTCATTTTAGTGCACCCGCTTCTGACTGAAATGGACTTTATTAAGCGTTATCAGTCCCCTAGAACGGCTTCAGAATGTCCCGCCTGKGCCGGTTAGCAGGTTCCCCGTCCCATAGAATGGCTTCTGATTGTCAGCTGGTTAATATGAGGCATAAAGACACTGTCTGGTTAATATGAGGCATAAAACCACTATGTGGTTAATATGAGGCATAAAACTACTATCTGGTTAATATGAGACATAAAGACACTATCTGGTTAATATGAGGCATAAAACTACTATCTGGTTAATATGAGGCATAAAGACACTATCTGGTTAACATGAGGCATAAAGATACTATCTGGGTAATATGAGGTATAAAGATACTATCTGGTTAATATGAGGTATAAAGATACTATCTGGGTAATATGAGGTATAAAGATACTATCTGGTTAATATGAGGTATAAAGATACTATCTGGTTAATATGAGGTATAAAG